CACACACACACACACACACACACACACAAACACACACACACACACACCACACACACACACACACACACACACAACACACACACACACACACACACACACACACACACAACAGGCCTACTGTCTAATCGACATGTGCCTATGACAGAATGATAACACATACACACACACTATATATATATATATATATATATATATATATATATATAATATATATATATATATATATATAATAAAAGAGAGAGAGAGGCAGGCAGGCAGCCAGCCAGCCAGGCAGGTAGGTTTCAAAGGGTTTAAGAAGAGCAGTTGGTTAAGAGAACCGGTTAATTTTTCTTGAGTTTTAGTCTCCATGTGGGTTATTTTTGAGCATTGACAAGTGTTCATTGCACTTGTCAATGATAAATTAGATAACGAACTTTCAGAACCTGAGGTATTAAGTCAGTTTACCTGGAGAGAGTTCCGGGGGCCACCGCCCCCGCGGCCCGGTCTGTGACCAGGCTTCATGGTGGATCAGGGCCTGATCAACCAGGCTGTTACTGCTGGCTGCACGCAATCCAGCGTACGAACCACGGCCTGGCTGGTCAGGTACCGACTTTAGGTGCTTGTCCAGTGCCTGTTTGAAGACAGCCAGGGGTCTGTTGGTAATCACCCTTTTGTATGCTGGGAGGCAGTTGAACAGTCTTGGGCCCCTGACACTTATTGTGTTGTCTCTTAACGTGCTAGTGACACCCCTGCTTTTCATTGGGGGGATGTTGCATCGTCTGCCGAGTCGTTTGCTTTTGTGATGATACTTTTCAGATAACTCCTCTGTAGGCTGGAATATTGTTGTATACTAAATGCCTCCTTGACAGGCAAAATTGCAGAAGTAAAGAATGTTCAAAGATCCTTCACAGCTTGTATAACCTCATCAAGCACCTAAATTACTGAAAGGGCTGGAAGTTCCTCGAATTGTACTCTGTAGTACATCGGCATGAAATATACAACATAATCTACACATAGAAGCACCTGTAAGATTCTAGAGGGATTGGTCCCAAACGTGTACACCGAAATTACCTCCAAAGTGAGGTACATTGCGAGGAAACTTTCTGGGTGTAAATGGATCATGGACTCGACATCTTCCTATTGTGCATATGTCAAATTACCAACACACTTATGGCCCATTTCTAGAGGGAACTCTAAATTCCTCATTTCATTTCTTGATCAGCCGGGTTGGTGCATATTTTGGACTGCGGTCGAAGGGCATAAATAGCCTGATCGGTCAGGTGAGCAACCATGAGGCCTGGTCTGGGACCGGGCTGCGGGAGCGGTGACTTCCGGAGGCGACTATAGGTGTCTTGCAGGTAATATGTTAGGGGAAAGTGTCTAGTTATGCTTGAGTGGCCGCTCAAGGAAGTTATAATTAGTTGCCACCTGTAGGTTGTCTCAAATATATTTTGATACCCGGAAAAATGCGCAATTTTATAAAGAAAACATAGTTTGTGATTATTAATTCTTTACTGAGATTGTTTTTTTTCTGTTTTCAGGCAACATTCTCATTGTTAGCAATTTTTAAAAATTAAAGCAGATTTTTTAGGGTTGTTATAAAGCTAATAGGATTTTTTATGAATAATGAAAGGATTACCATTACAAAGCCCAGAGAACAGGAAGGGTCACACTGACAAGTGTAGATAAACGCGTGCGCTGTTCAAGACATTGAGGAAATGGTTCGCTAAGAATGGCTCCTTCAGTAGAAGTCACTCTTAGCGAACCGTTTCCTCAGTAAATTTCTTGAAATGCGCCTCTATATCTTGATCTACATTAGAAGAGCTGCTCTGACCTTGGGTTAGTATAGTATAAGTAGTTTGGCATAACTCCTTTTGTCATCTTGACATTTGTTATGGTGAAGGTGCATACTAGAGCCTCTCTTGGCACCTTTCCACCTCCCTGGCGCAGGTGCGCTAACAGTCGTGTGTTCAGGCCACGAAGTACCTGCAGTTATCTGTACATGTCAGTATAAATAGACATTGCGTATTGAACTCGTAACAACGGAGTTGTTATATCTAAGTTCGGGAAAACATCATTTTTAGGAAAAATACCAAAAATCCTGGCAGAGTATCTTATTTTTGCTCTGTCTAACGATACCCCCTCCATCTTGTGTAGCCAGAACATGTTCCTGGACCCATTTATGTACCTCGGTTGCCAGTTATTACGACAGCATATGTATGAGGTGCTTCATAAAGGTGTCAAATATATACCTATGTAGAAATAAACTGGATTTTTTTTAATTATCATGGTATATGTAACCAATATTCACTATTAATGAAAAAGATTGGTAATTTTGCGATTTACGTTGAAATGGATACCCACTAGACTAGAGTATATAATCTAATGTAGTTCTCTTTAGTTAGGCATTTTGCATTGCACAGTAGTCATAGAAATGTGTTTTCCCGTAATTCTTGCTTAATTAATATAGTAGTATTTAGTTGAAGATAGTCGCTCGAGAGGGGTGTTGAGAATCAAAAATACCATAAGAGGTGCGCTCTGTTCTTAAATAGCATTCATTCATAGCCATTAAACCTGCCTCCCGGGTTGTTCTCGCCGCTCTGTTTACCTCCTACGTCACCATCCTGGGAGGCAGACGTGAGTCATCGCTCATAGAAAACGAGCAGGGTTACGCACCAGAGAAAACGTTGTCTCTAAAGGGGTAAACTTAGGAAATGTGAATTAGGAAACTTTTTAAACGCAATCAGATTATTAATTTGAACTATAATAATTTTTATTTGGAAAAGTGCATGCACGGAAATAATGAGCACGGTTACGATTACATGAAAGACAGGCATATGAGATTTTTTTTTTTTTGTATCTGCTACAAGCTGACATTGGAAATATTGCCAGCACCAGTGTGGAAGTATTCAAGAGGGAAACTGATCACTACCTCCGTGATGTGGTGGCAGATCAACGAAGCTATGTTGGATATGTGGGCGTTAGCTTGGTTGACCAGGCAGTCAACAGAGAGGCCTGGCTCCAGGTCGGGCTGCCAGCGTTGGAAAACTTGAAACAGGTCACATGCAAGTTCACAGGTATGCAGTAGTTACTGCTCGATTTCTTTGAAGCGGAAGAAGTAAGTTTATATTTAGGTCTTAGGTATAAAACATGAATTTTTTTTTGTAATAGTCTTCAAGGCCCACAAAAATTATATTATGGTTAAATCCTGCATAACCCAATACAGTCAAAAAATATGACTTTATTTACATTGGAATCCTAGTGGATGTTTGATACTTTTAATATAAAAGTATATATATGATAAAAAGAAGAAAAACTTGTGGTAACAGAAATGTATTGTGTGGATGGTTAGTTAGAATGGTGGGTGTCGGGTGGGTTTGTGTTGTGATCAATACCGTCGCCCCATCCTCCCTCCAAACCTCCACCCTCTCTTTCCTCTATACACCAACCCCCTCACTACTCACATTCTCTTACAACAACACAACTAGTTCAGCTGTTTCTCTCTTGTATGTTTTGCTGTTTATTCGTACACAACTTGCCATCTTTTGCATGTTTTACGAATGTGCACTTACCTAGATGTATTTGCATGGCTCCTGAAGCCGATTATTAATTCGGAATAACCCAAGAAAGCCAAGCAGTGTGGCTTCACATCCAGCAGGATATAACCCACAACTAACCTCCTAGGTATGTATTGACTGCTAGGTAACCAGGTAAGATGTTAGATTTACCCACACTTCTTTCCATGTCTAGGGTTTGACCCTTGTCTTTTCAGTTGTGGGCCGAGCTCACCACCACTGCGCTACAAGATACCTAGTTCTTGCATCCACTTCCTTTTCATGTAGTGTTTCACTTGTAACACTGAAAAGTATTCTTCTGTTCCAATTGCTTGTTCGCCTCTTCAGCTGTCATCCCCCCTCCCCGGTCCCCTCTCCTCTCATCTCGAACAGCCCATTCCTATCATCTCGTGTCTAAATCTTTTTTTCTTTTGTGTCTTGTGTCATGGTTTTCGTCTTTTCTATTGTGACGAGTTAAATGCTATAACTCTTCCGCTCGTACTTCATTCCCCCCTCAACTCCCTTTGTAAATCTTTGGATTTTTCCTACATTAATTATATAGCTGACCAGGTGGGGCGTAACTTACTTTAATTATAATTTAATTATATATTATATATATATATATATATATATATATATATATATATATATAAAATATATATATATATTATATATATATAATATATATGTATGTATGTATATTATGGTGAATAAAAGATGAACGGGATGATCGGATCGTAGCCCTGGTTGTGGCAGGTCCAGCTCTTTGCTACTGAGCTACGGGGTTTCTGAAAGGTTCCTGAGGATACCCCTTTCCGGTGTCTGTGGATGTCTCTTTCGGGTTCCTGTGGATGTCCCTTTTGGGTTCCTGTGGATGTCCCTTTTGGGCTCCTGTAGATGTCCCTTTTGGGTTCCTGTGGATGTCCCTTTTGGGTTCCTGTGGATGTCCCTTTTGGGTTCCTGTGGATGTCCCTTTTGGGTTCCTGTGGATGTCCCTTTTGGGTTCCTCTGGATGTTTTCGCCTGGTTGGTGGGCATGCGCGTGCCTGATGGCGTGGTGAAATGTGCGGAGGTGTAGTGGTGGTCACCCAGCCACCACAACACTGACAGTACTCCTTCCTTCTGGCTGCCTCCGACCTCCTCCTCCTCCTCTTCCTCATCCTCCTCCTCCTCCTCCTCCTCCTCCCTCTCTCTCTCCCTCCCTCCCATCCTCCCTCCTGACTTCCCTTCCTCCTGTGACTCGCAAAACGCTACACGCTATTACTTTATTATTGCATTTGTTTTTCCTTTAGCTGGTCGAACCTTTGTGTCTGATAATAGTTCTTGACTAAGTGACACTGTGGAAAGTCAAACTTAGGAAAGCCATAATAGTTAGACCGAAAAGACACGGAGGTGGCGGCGGTGCCAGGCTCACCAGCGGTGTGTGGCAATGACGGGTGCGTACTCGCCTGGGCCATCCATATTGAAGTCCAGCAGTTGGAGTACGATAGTCTGTGTGATAGGATGAGTTGTAGTCTGCGCTCTTCACCCACCCTACTCGCACACCTACTTAATGTGTTTACCCACGCTATTGCAGCATCGATCACTCAAGTAAAGTGTTGTCTCTTTGTTATCACATGTACAAACTGAACAGTGCATAGCATTCAGGTATAGTAAGGTGAGCGCTGGTTCCCCAGTGAGTAGAGTGTGAAGTAAGGTGGAGGTGAGCCGTGGTATTGTTCCACCATGGCTCAGTAAGGCGAGGATATGGCTGCCAGCAGCACACCTTCAGCCATCAGTGCCCACCATACTTTACACTCATATTACAGTGCTAGAGCTAAACTTGCTGCCTGGAAGGACCCTTAACATTACCTCACCTCGACCATAGCTGCCTCGAACCTCCTTTGTGTCTTATATAACTGGTGTAGTGTAAGTAGTGCCATCTCAATAGTTCTTGGGTACTCAAGCCATGGTGATGAACACGTTTCGCTCCAAGTTGCGGCGGCGCCGCGACGAGCTGTTTCGACGCGGCTCCGACGAATCTGATGAGTGGCAGTTCGTGCCCTTCAACCCCACCGTGTACCCGGCCAACAACAACAACACACTACACAACCATAGCAACAACAAGGGCGGGGGGTCGTTCCCAGGGGGCTCCGGAGCTCCCAGCACCCCCAAGCCTGCCCTTCGCCCCTGGGCTATGCAGCGAGCCTCCTGGCACGAGAGTCATCCTCCAGTGCCGCCACATGGACATGGCTCTGAGGTCAAGGGTTACTTCCCTCTGCCGCCATGCCCCGAGACATCCCCGCCCCCGCTGCCCCCACATGGACACGGCTACCCTGGGTCCGTGCCTCCGTGGTACGGAGCACAGTTCCACGCAGCGCCTATGCACTACCCAGCCTCCGTGCCCCCAGGGCAGCTGAGGCCCTCACCTGTGGTGCTGCGCCGCGCAGCGCGTGCTTCTGAACCATCATCTAACAGACCTAGTAACGATACCACTAAGCCTACAACCGGTGGACCCAGGCCTATCACCGGAGATCCCAGGCCTACCACCAGTGATTCCAGGCCTACTACCAGCGATTCCAGGCCCACCACCAGTGATCCAAGGGCTGTCACCGGCGGCCCCCGCCCTACCACCGGTGGACCTAGGCATACCACCGGCGATCTCAGGCCTAACAGCGGAGGGTTTAGTGGAGGGCCTAGGAATACCGGTGGAGGATCCAGGCCTACCAGTGGAGACTCGTGGCCTACCAGTGGAGATTTCAGGCCTAACAGTGGAGCATCTAGACCTAACAGCGGAGAAATTAGGCCTAATAGTGTAGGGCCTAGTCCTTGCAAAGGAGGTTCTCGTCCTAGCAGTGGACACTGTAAGTCTCGCCCATCCAGCGGAGGCTCTGACGCCCTCGACGGTGTAGTAATTAGTCCAGAACACACACCACCCGAGGTGCCCCCACACGGACGACCCGCTGTGCCACCCCACCTCACCTGCCAGAGAAACAAGGTGCCTACCACTGTGCCCTCACCAGTGCCCCCGCCCCCGAACCTGCCCCTTCCACCTCCCCCTGTACCTGCACACGCACCCGACACTCCTACCACTGAACACCCGAGCCCCAACTTTGCCCCGGTCAAGCCCAACAGCCTTAATCTGGAGCACTTGACACCTTTCTTGGCGTCCCTCCTCAACATGGAGGCCAGCCAGGAGCAACACGAAGAATCTCCAGATTCACCAGAGTATAAGATTCCCGTGGACCAGTCTCCAGAGTACAAGTCTCCGTGTGACTGTCCAGATTGTTACCCAGGTAATGTTAACTCTCACAACGTTATGGTGATCTATGACCAGCCTTGTTCCTCAACCACTGGTTACTGAGGCTGCTGATACACCTCTTACTAGATCTTAATATTGTTAATTATAGTGTGTCATTTGTGAGTAATTGAAACATCACCTGAAACATCGCTTTGAAGCATCACTTTGAAGCAGTTCATAGATTAATCCTCTTGTAGAAAAGGTAGTGTGTGCAAAGTAACTCCATTGAAAAGTGTGGGTACAATAATCAGGTTGAGAGGTAACTATTAAGATAAGATCTCAGTGCTTTTCATTATTCTTCTTTCAAACACAGGAAATTGCTAACACAAACCTATCTTTAAGAGTGACCTTGATAATGTCTTTAAAGAAATTACCTATCAGCCGGGCTGTGGTGCCAACGACGAACTGTGAGCTGCAAGCACTAACAGCCTGGCTGATTAGGCCATCAATCAAGATGCCAGAATCTGGGCCGAGGGAGCAGCGATCCCCGGCACCATCACCAGGTAGACATTAGGTAGTGCATTGACTACAGTAATAGTGTAAATGGAGGAATGTTTACTGACAGGATGAGTGGCACTGCCCAACTCGCACCTCGGGCCAAAATCTAAACCAAAAATCATTACCTCGGTGTCTGTACGTTTGCGCTCACACTCCCCAGTTTTACTCCCCTATTTATATTTGTGAGGTGGGGGGGGGGTCGAGTCTTGGCTGCTTTCCCAACCTTTAAAACTTTGTCCACCGGCATTAGTGGGTTTTGGTCTCATAATTATCTCCCTCCAATTCATTCCACTTCCTTGCACTGGTTAAAGTAATTCAAATATCCCTTTGACTCGTCTCGTTTTTAGTTTTTTATTTATGCTCCCATGTTCTTGGTCGTTGTTTCAGTCTAACCGTATTTTTCTCTGTTATATCTTCTGAGTATCAAATATGTTGTAAGCATGTCGGTTTTGGTCCTCTCTTGCAGGTTAGTCGGGTAATGGTCCTTTTGTCTTAATTTATAGTTCATAACCTTGATTCTAGGACAAGTATGGTTGATATTTTCAAGCTTCTAAACGTGCTTGATCAGGTGAATACTCCTCTTTTGTGTTGCATATGTAGAAGGTCCAGACGAGCCTGGCCCATGGCCGGGCTCAGAGAGTAGATATACTCTCGAAATTCTTCAAATGTATATCAAAGGTATGTATATTTCGGAAGACTGTTTTGATATTCGATAGTGACTTGAGGAATTAATGTTGTTGTGCTTCTCCCGCAGTGTGTTAGGTATGATGGTCTCCAGTTTTTCAGACCATTACATATACCGAGCTTATATTTGCTGAAATTGAGCTCCACCAGTAATTTGTTTGACAAGTATTGTGTAAGTCTTCAAGGAGGTTCTCTGTCCTCTTTTTATTTTTCTAAGTATTACATTTTTCATTGAAATCCATAAGCTTAGATTTCATTTGGTAGGTTATTTACATGTGTCAGGATAGTAGTGGCACTAGTAGTGCTTCTTTGGGGACGTCTTTTGTTGCTCTCGTCCATCTCGACATTTCTTCTCATACAGTCAATTGTTCTTCCGTCTTTGAGGGAATAATTATCCTTTTATTTTAATTTTAATAACGGAATATTGATTCCTGAGGATAACCTATTTAAATGGAACTGGAAAAACAGGCAGCACTCGCATGCATTGAGATACTGAACACAGATGATCAGTCGAAATTTTGGCAGTCAAACTCGAAAACCAGAACCTACTTATTGTGCATGTGTTTAAATTGCTGGTACAACTTTCTCAGCAATTTTACTTGACGATCCTCTAGAGTTTTGTATACAATGTTTCTTTTGAGTTCATTCTGTCCATACTTTAGCATGAACATGAATGCGCTTGAAAACGTACAGAGAAGGATAACAAAATCGATCAGATGTATCAGAAATATTTCCTACGAGGATAGACTGGAGGCACTGAATCTGCATGGGTCAGTAAGCCTATGGCAATGCTCCTTCCATGTTTCAAAACAGTTTCCTATTTCTCCCGACCATCATAATGTCTTCGCCCTCCATTAAACTGTAGTCCTCACAGAGGCTCCACATTGCAGCCCGTCCTTGTAATCACAGACATCATTTCACTGTTGTAAAAGCAGTCAAATGTTGGACTGATGAAGGCACCTTAAATAGTGAAAATCTATAATAATTGTCTGTCGCGCTCATTGGCAGCTCTTTTATTTTTTGGTCGCACGGCAGAACTTTTTATTCCACTTATCTTGTATTTATATTTTTTCAGTGTGGTATCTTATAATTGATTACTTTTTATGTTAGAAGACAACCTAACATAATGGAGGAATTTGTAGCAAACCGCATGTGAGAAATACATAGAGATATTTTTGGGAGTTAAGAGGATGGATTGCATACTGCAGTTTTTTCTTGGGGAGGGGGTGTAGTTACCTGTTTGTAGATACAGTAGCAGAGCTATGTAAGAAGTGTACCGTCCTCGATAATATTTTTTTTAATTATTGTAGTACATACTACCTCCATCACTAAATCATCCCATTGGTCACCCACTCGGCGAAGAATAATTTTTTTTTTTTTTTAGTATTCCGTCGGCTACAGTTATTCCTCAATTTGCATCTGTTATCCCTGTTACAGGTACAAAGAATTTTTTTTATGTATTCTTTCATGACTATTTATATGACTGTATTTGGTTATCATGTCTCCTATTTTTTTTTTCAGCTAGTGCGGGAATATTAATTGTTTTCAGCCTTTTATTATTTTTTTTAATCTTTGATAGTTATTTTGTAACTTTAGCATTGCTCAGTGCATATTGAAAGGCATTTTATGATAGGCCAGTGTAGCAAATGAGTTGATCACAATTTCATTAATAGGCAGTCAACAGAAAAGCCTGGCACCAGGTCGGGTTGCAACGGTACGAAAATCCTTGAATATCAAAATGGTATACAGTACTGACAGGTTGGTAAGACACATAGGCAACAGTTAGGCAACTTTATTCTGAAGTGTTTCGCCTACACAATAGGCTTCTTCAGTCGAGTACAGAAAGTAGGCAGGAGCAGTAGAGATGTGAAGACGATGCAATCAGTCCATCACCCTTGAAGTCGTAGATGGAACAGAACTCTTCTCCAGGCTGAGGGACTGACAACCTCGAATCTACGACTTCAAGGGTGATGGACTGATTGCATCGTCTTCACATCTCTACTGCTCCTGCCTACTTTCTGTACTCGACTGAAGAAGCCTATTGTGTAAGCGAAACGCTTCGGAATAAAGTTGCCTAACTGTTGCCTATGTGTCTTACCTACCAACAAAAATTCTTATATCAGTAGCAAAATTTTCAATATCAGTAGCAGATGTATTACCGATAATTTGCTGTGACAGTTTTTTTAGCAACTCTTAGATACCTTCCGTCTGACAGTTTTTACAGTCTGCGTCGTGAGGCTGATTTCGTTTTCTTGCATTATAATTGTATGACTTTTTTTTATTAACACATCGGCCGCTTTCCACCAACACAGGGTGGCCCGAAAAACAAAACTTTCATCATTCACTCCATCACTGTCTTGCGCGCTTACACTACAGTTATAAAACTGCAACATTAACACCCCTCCTTCAGAGTGCCGTCACTGTACTTCCCATCTTCAGGACTCAAATCCGGCCTGCCGGTTTCCCTGAATCTCTTCATAAATGTTACCTCGCTCACACTCCAACTACACGTCAAGTCCAGTCCTAAAAACCATTTGTCTCCATTCGCTCGTATCTAACACGCTTACGCATGCTTGCTGGAAATCCAAGCACCTCGCACACAAAACCTCCTTTACCCCCTCCCTCCAACCTTTCCTAGGCCGACCCCTACCCCTCCTTCCCTCCACAACAAATTTATACACTCTCGAAGTCATTCTATTTTGTTCCAACCTTTCGACATGTCCGAACCACCTCAACAATCCCTCCCGAGCGCTCTGGATAATAGTTTTGGTAATACCACACCTCCTCCTAATCTCCAAACTACGGATTCTCTGCATTATATTTTCACCACACACATTGCCCTCAGACATGACATCTCCACTGCCTTCAGCCTTCTCATTGTTGCAACATTCACCACCCATGCTTTACACCCATACAAGAGCGTTTGTATAACAATACTCTCATACATTTCCCTCTTGGCTTCCAATGCTTCCTCAGTGCACCACTCACCTTTTTCCCTCATCAGATATGTGATTCACCTCATCTTTCATAGACCCATCTGCTGACACGTCCACTCCCAGATATCTGAATACATTCACATTCATACTCTCTCCCTCCAGTCTGATATCCATTATTTCGTGTCCTAATTTTTTTTATCATCACCTTACTCTTTCCTATATTCACTTTTAATTTCCTTCTTTTATATACCTTACCAAACTCACCCACCAACCTCTGGAACTTCTCTTCAGAATCTCCCAAAAGCACAGTGTCATCAAGGAGCAATTGTGACAACTCCCACTTTGTATTAGATTCTTTATCTTTTAACCCCACACCTCTTGCTAACACCCTAGCACTCGCTTCTCTTATAACTCCATCTATAAATATATTGAACAACCATGGTGACATCACACATCCCTGTCTAAGGCCTACTTTTACTGGGAAATAATTTCCCTCTCTCATACATTCTCTAACCTGAGCCTCACTGCCCTCGTAAAAACTCTTCACTCCTATTTCACACATTTACAACATCTGCCACTTATCTATATTAAAGTCCATTATTCATGGAACTATTTACTCTGTTACCTGTATGGATTTATAGTCATTCATTATTATTTATTTTTCCTTAGGTTTTTGCATCTTCGACGAATATATGCAGAGTTTTTCATTCCTTTTGTTATTTGATAAATTAGACACATGTGCAAGTCTTGGGTATCTTTATTGAGGAAACGTTTCGCCACACAGTGGCTTCATCAGTCCATACAAAGGAGAATCTTGAAGAACAGATTATCCTTTGTATGGACTGATGAAGCCACTGTGTGGCGAAACGTTTCCTCA